AGCATCTATGTACCAAGTTTCATCAAAATCCAATGAGTGGTTGTTTAGATATCAGTGGAACAGTCATGGAACCACTAAAAAATAGCTAATTATCATGCAAATTAGGTAATTAATATGCACGGATTTTTACCAAAAATTAATCAAATCTGCGCATATGTTCAGAGCATCTATGTACCAAGTTTCATCAAAATCCAATGAGTGGTTCTTTAGATATCAGTGGAACAGTCATAGAACAGCTAAAAAATAGCTAATTATCATGCAAATTAGGTAATTAACGAGCATGGATTTTTACCAAAACCTAATCAAATCTGCGCATTGGCCCAGAGCATCTATGCACCAAGTTTCATCAAAAACCGATGTATGGTTCTTGAGATAGCAGTGGAACAGTCAAACACACATACACACACACATACACACATACACACATACAGACACACTAACTGCAAAGACTCCCATTTTGTGCTTCGCACATGGGAGTCAAAAACACTGAACAATAGCAGCCAGTGTCAATATAATAAAACAACAAATTGGAGCCTTCCAAATAAAATCATTATTACAATACCATGTGTAATTTTTGATTAGGCATTGTATTATTAAATGAGTGCCCCTTTCATATTGTCATACCACTTGATATTGGGGATTATTTTGACTGACAATATTAGTTGGGTCTAAGATTTAACTGAATACATTATAGAATTTACAGGAACAGTCAACTGGTATTAATAGGTGATTTTCCGTACAATTGCGAGAACTCGCGAGATGCACAAAAGATGTGTGTCGAACGTCTGCCGCACAAATCGAACGATTTGATTTTGAACTCAAATTTTGTAGCTCACATCAACCAACCGGTCTTTGACAGACGAATATTGCTTCCGAATACCCTCACTTAATCGAAATTGTTTATCATCAAATGTGTACAGCACATTATTAAGCATGGAAATGCCCCCAAAATATTTTGGCGTTAATCAAATCCCACGCAATGTTTGACGCCACTACGACCTTTGTTTTTTCCTGTTTTTACATTTGATTTCACGCAGTGAACGGAAAATGGTCAACGATCTGCCAGTCCAAGACGTGTAAATGCTGATATTTATAATAATCCAACAGTTATACCGAACGAGTGTAACATCATTTTGGACTTGTGACTGGATAACAACTGTTTGCATGGTGCCGATTTGAAAATCAATGGCACTCAGACACCATGCCTAATTAGCATAGTTTTTTTTTTAAATTGTGATTTTCTTGTCTTTCCGACATTTGGAGTAGATCACGTGATAAAAAAGGTTAATACAAGACATCACTAATATAGTGCTGGTTGAAACTCATGGTATCATGGACATTACCAGCTCATGACGTCACTCATATGAACAAGTGATTTCAGGTGATAACCTCATAATATCTATCAACTAACAGTACAATTGCAAACCTAGATTACAGTGACTTCTTTTAATAAATAACAAAATTTACCTTCTTTAAAATACTTGTTCCTGGTGTTGTAGCACAGGGCTTGTGAAAAGCTACATCTGGTATGTCTTCATTACTTCGGACTAAAAAACTTACACTGTTTCTCCTGGATTTCCCCTATAATAAAAAAAAAAAATAATCTGTGATTCAGACATTCTCTCAAAGTTACTGAGCATGCTACTATAACAACCTCATCTGAAAGCTTCAGATATGGGTCAATTTTCGTTACGCTATAGGCCAGAAGACTGTTTTTTTGTTTATTTTTTAGTGCCTTCGTTTTCTAGCTATGACCAAATAACTACAGACATGCTGCCAACAATCCACTGGACAGTTTTTACTAGCTGTAATTAGACAAATAAAGCATAGATAAAAAAAATCTAGACGAAAAACAACACTCTACAATAATTATCTAAGATTAAAAAATTGTATATTAGCATATAACAAATTTGCTAGTGTCAATGTTATTTACCACTTAGCACCAAATAACAGAAACTGAGTAGTTCAGAGTAAGCAGTCTTGTGTTCCCTCTTTTTTCAGGCACAAAACCATGAATTTGTGTTGTCACACCTCACCTTTCAGTGACTGAAGGCTTGAGTGCTTGCTGAACTTTTTATGTACACTGAGATCTGCTGCTGTGTCTGCCAGAAACTGTACTCAGTGGCATCATTACAGGTTGCAAGAACTCCATATCCAGAGAATTTAATTTTGATTCTACCAACGAACATAGCATTTGCAAGGAAACTGCTTATAGTGTATTGATGAGTATACTCACACAAGTCCTAAATATATAATTTACTGTATTGTGAGCTACGACATATGCACTCAGTGCATACATGGTGGTTGCTGGTGGCCCATTTATTTTGTCCAAACTCACCTGTTTTTTTGAATGCTGTAAACCTGCAACCAATTAATAACGAAATATCATCAATATGGCTATTGCAGTCTCCACACTCACTTTTAATATATTCCATATAGAAATTCTTTTCGCAGTCTGAAAACGGGGATCTATGTTTTGACCTATGTGTGACCGTGTGTGCGTCCGGACCTGTATCTTAGAAATGCCTGAACCAATCAGAATCAAACTTCACACATACATTATATTAGACATATGCACATAATTTTGTTTCGTGATCTGATTCAAGATGGCCGAATGGCGGCCATTTTTGTGCTAAAAATCATCAAAATCAAGCATTTCCCAGCTGTTTACATACAGATGGATTTTGTTCAAACCTTGTATATACGTTGGACATTATAGGACCTTGATGCAAATAATCTTGTTAATCTAATCAGATTAGATTCAAAATGGCCGACTGGCAGCCATTTTGTTTTAATGAATGTGGTTCTCGTGCCATACTGTATGTCCGACTTGTTTTGACTGATTATGTTCAAATTTTTAATATTCATCATACATCATGTCATAGATATACGGATATATTGGTTTGACAATCCTTTTCAAAGTGGCCAAATGGTGGCTATTTTTGTGCTAAAAAAATCATCAAATATCAAGCATTTCTGGATGGATTTTGTTCAAACTTATAACATACATTAGACATTACAGGTTCCTGATGCATGTCAGTGTTCTCCACAAGCGGTTATAGGTGCCCATCAAGTTTATGACCGCCTAGTTACTCTTAACACCAACGTACATTCAGCTGAAATTATTTGTAAAAAGCTTGCATTGTTTTTCCCCCAAGTCTAAACAAAAGAGTAGTTGCCCAACCCTTCATTTTGCTATTGTTTCAATGGTTCGGACATAAACAATGACCACTGGAAGTCTGCAAGCAGTTAACAAGTGTATTCATGGCTATGTGTCAATCGCCTGACTTCATGGTCGCCCGACATTGTTGCCACTTATTGCTCACAATACGCAACTACAGTTTAATAATCGTTTTCCGATCACGAAAGAAGGAAGTAAAAACGAACAGGAAATAAACAAATATATTAGCAGATTGCATGTAAACTCAAATAAAAATAAAAATTCTAGCCGTATTTACAACGTTCGCTCGATTTTTATCGTGAAAACAGCATGGAGAAGGCAAACTGATGACCTTTTGGCCTACCCCATTCAGCGACCGTCGGCCACCCACCGCTATTGGCGCTGTAACGATTTACCGGGGGTGGTATCTAAGTTGCATAGGGAAATAGCGCATTTTGGGTGTTCGTGTACTGAATTTGGAAAGCGGTAAAAAAACATGAAACATTAGTTTACTGCGAGTATTTGTAATTCAATACACATTTTAGTTATCTTTCCCACATACTTTTTTCAATTTATTGATTTTGAGAACATGGCAGATTCTTTTATTTTGCCGATTGCTAGCATTTTTTCTTGAATTCCAAAACAACTCTATGTGAAAACGCAACATGTCGTAGCTGACAGTACATTTGTAAATGTATCGTACTGTCCGTCGACACGGGTGAGTACTAATGCCACAAATACAAATGTTATGGGTTTTATTTTGACAAATCGTTCGTTTTAGCTTCGGGGACAAATCACCTCGTATATTTTCTACATTATAACTCAATTATGTTTTGTACTTGCTCTTCATTACTCGAATTGAATTTCATGAACGTATAAATCACCTATTTCAAACTTTGCATTTCGTAAATATTGATTGTAACATGTTTCAATTAAATTAAAAAAAGAATAGTAAATAACTTAGTGTGTATTGCAGTTCATGACATAAATGCTAGAATGTTGTATGTAAATGATATGCAAATTAATATACAAATTTATGCTGATTAGACCGCCCACCAGCTATTTTGGATTGTGGAGAACACTGCATGTCATTTTATTTTCAGATTGGATTCAAAATGGCTGACTGTTTTAATGATTGGGCTTCTCGAGCCATATCTTTTAAATGCTTTGACTGATTATATTCAAATTTTATATATTCGTCATACATCATGTTATATATATGTATTCAAAATGACTGATTTTGAATGCTGTTCCAGAGCAATATCTCTCAATATGAACAAGTACTTGTTTGACCATCAGATACAAATGTCAATCATTTTAATGTTAAACAATCATCGTAATCATATTCCTGACATGGTTATATTCCAGCTATATTACTATAAACAAAACTATATATCTTAAATTTGATAACTAACGAGGACTGTGCCATGCATGGCATGTTTAATAAAGAAAAGTATATCAATTTGCATCTCCAGACCCTAAACCTTTTTAAGACAGCCAAAATGCAAAAAAGATGCTTCTTTTCACACAATACCTTGTTTCTGATTATGGTTCATTTTTGACAAGAGCCATTTTTCTATGGCTTAAACAATGATTTCAATCTTCTTATTCATAACTATCATGTTGCAAGCTCTGCTTTGTGTGCAAATCAACTCAAATATTTAGTTGGTGTCCAGCGGAGAGAGAAGTCAACAGTACTGTTGTCTACATCTTCAAACGCTGCAATCATTGTTTTTGTGCTTTTTTAAATTGGTATTTTAAATGCTCTATCTTTCTGTTCTAATAGCTGAAACAAATTTTCCTGTCAAAATGTGGATGCAATGTTTTGCTTTTTATGTATTTTTTATGTATTGCTTTTGATTTGATAACTTTGGACTAAACAGATTTTCTTTTGGTTTCTGATCTTGATCAAAAAGTTTGGCACCCAATTCATAGGAGTGCTTATATTGATTTTCTGACATCTTGTTTTCTGTAAAGATTTTATTGGTAGGTTTGCAAATGTGTGCAAAAACTCCTCCGCCAGTTGATTTTGAAACCCAGTCTAGTATTCCCATGGGATTTGGGAGATACATTACCAACAATATTATTACAAGACGATTTGCTTCATTGAACAGAGAACAATGCATATTTCCTCTGAGATCAGTGACCTTTGATGCGTGTCATCAGTCAAGTAGAAACAGTCAAAATATTTTATCAGACTCTCAATTTTTGCATGATATTTTCATACAGGACATCTGTCGTTCATACTCAGGGAATACTTTATACTAATGAATAAGGTGACCAAGTTTGATAAAGTTTGGAATCGAATTAGTAAAAGTTATTGTGCACACAATAACAATTATTAATGACGATGACAATGCCAACGCCGGACAAAAATGTTTCCCTCAATATACTTTTCCCTTCCACCTTTGATGATACGGGCAAGGTAAAAATTGCAATGGTGTTGGGTTCATACCAAGTTTGATTGAAATCTGCCTGTGCACTGCTAGAACACTTAACCACCTGCCTACCTGGGGACATTTCTCACGCCACTAGCTCATAGTAATTTCTGATGTAGGCTAATAATATGCATTACTGTACAGTAGACTTATAATTAAAATATACAATTATTACTAATGCATACCTTTGACATTGTTCTGTTCACATACTTCATTTTCACGACTGGCAATCATAACAGAGGGACTTGCAGGTAATGATGCATTATCCTGAAAATCTATGAATTGTTGGCATAATTGATCATTATAAAACAAGTCATTAAGAATGTCACAGCCTCCGCTCTTTTAATAAAGTACTTGTATGACAAATAACTAGTCCAAAAATTACTTTTATTGAGGTGCAACACAGTTGTCTGTGCACCAAGTTTGGTGTCAATTGAAAAGAAATGTACTGGTACATATGGATACCAAATGCAAACAAATTGTGAGGTGACCTGGATGCCATCAGCATGCCTGGTACAAAACTGCAGGTAAAGTAACAAGTAACATGTATGTATGTATGTATAAAACTACATATTCATGGGGGCAGCGCACCAGAAATGAGCATGAAAGTATTTTAATAGAGAAACCAAACTGTATTGAATACTTTTAAATAATAACAAGTGGTGATTTCTAAGTATAATTAATTCAATTTACATATACCAAGATCACTTTATCAAAACAAGTGAATTTAATGTTAAAGATGTTTATTAGTAAATACAGCATACCATGTTCTTCAGCAGCTGGTATTTCTGAAAGTAGTGAGAGTTCATCCAAATCCAATATTCTTGTTGTAGTTTTGCCTTCTAGTAAAGATGAGTTTCTATGTAGCACAGTAGACTTCATCAGTGGTTTTCTCATTGGTAATATACTGCGGAATGGTAACTGTGCTGTATAATAAATAATCACAGTAATAATACTAAAACATAACTAACAAAAATGCAGAAAATTGTAAAGCACTACAAATACTTGATATATGGCTGAGAATATATTACGAGTGAAAGACAGACTGACAAACACACTAAGGTCAAATTATATGTCCTAGTTTTCGAACTGCATCTGAATAGGGACTGAACATTAATGGTGGATATATAAACAGGTTTTTTTTTCACTCTATACGCATCTAACTATTAAAATATGATAATAGGATCGTTGTAGTGCTTCTTTCATCACACACGCATTTATGTTCAAAGTTATATGTTCTGTACCGTAAACTTGTGTATACGCCACAGCTATTCTCGTGCAATGAATTTATAAGTCATTTTATTTATTTTTTTCTTGGTTTGTTTCAATATGGATGTATGAACTTTTCCACTTTATATCCTGCAATAAAGATTTAAAAATAAACATAGCTTAACTCTGGTAACCTTGCCCTTTGTTATATAATATTATTTCCTTTATCATAGTTTGTTTCAATAGGAATATGCATTGTCATAATTAATTTTGAATACAAACAAGTTTTGGGGTTGAAACAACAGTGGGGAATCAGTCTACCAAATGTCCTTGATAGATGTAAATATCTTACAAAAACATTGGTGCCTAATTTGTTTATTTAAGGAAAATAATTTTCAGCTTTTTCAAAGTAATTCAGATATTTTAGTATAAAAACCAATGCCTCATCTCAGAAAAAAGTGCTGCATTTAGACATGCAAGATAACAGAAATCTTAGCTGGTTTTTGCCCCAGTGTTTTGTACAGGTATCTTTCAAAAATTAATGATTTACTGAGACAAATATGAACTACCTTATTATATTCATTGCGTGACTGTTGCATTATTTAAAAAGTAAAAAAAAAAACGCCCTCTTGGAATAACTATCATGTTGCAAGCTCTGTTTTGTATGAAAATCGACTGAATAGTTAGTTGGTGTCCAGTGGAGAGAGAGGTCAACAATACTGTTGCCTCCTCAGAATCCCCATCTTTATACACTGCAATCTTTGTTTTTGATATTCGTTTTTAAATTACTGATAGTTATACTACCCCTACGAGTAGATTAACGGGAAATAGCGGCTCTGGTAAAAGTCCGAGTAGTATAACAAAGTTATACTGCGAATTTGACGAGATTTGCACTGTTTATTTTAAATCCTGTGGTCATGGCGGATGTTTACAGCGCTATTGTGTAAATCGCAATTCTAAACTAGGTGTAGTCAACCGCAATTATCAGACGTGCTCATTGGCTATAACAGATGTGTTGAAAAGCTCTAGCCAATCGGCATTTACTCAGCAAAGTTTGTTTGGTTTAACAATAGAATACACCAACAGTGGACTTTATTGTATTACCATAACCAACACTGATTGGACCACATAGAATTGCATAAAAAACATTCGATCACATGAAATTGGTGCTTATTTGTGAGAACAGTGCAGCGCGTTGTTGGGTGAACTCCGGAGATCCGCCAGAATCATGTCCGCACAAGAATTTGCTGCTCCGGAAATTGACTGGGATTTGGAAAACTGGTTGTCCCAAATTGATGTGGACGATGCCGATGACTTTAAACTGAGCGATATTCAGAAAGAATTCCGTTTTTTGCCTCCAGTTGACAGCAAACAAGTCACCAAATACCAGCAGTCACGCATACCCAAGACAACTCGCAGCGTCAAAACATGGAATGAGTGGAAAGAGCAACTAATGTTAAAGTTGAGTATGATGAATCTGATGAAGAAGTGTATCATTTGGTTCCGTCTCTGGATGAAAATTTAGTCCCGAAGGAATTTGATTTCTGGCTATGTAAATTTGCCATTCAAAGTCAGAGACAAGATGGCCAACAGTATCCGCCAGACTCGTTAAGACAAATGTTCTGTGCCATTTACCGCTATCTGCGCGATGATTGTAACCGCCCTGACCTAAATTTTATGGACAAGGGCAACCACGACTTCTTAGGTTTCAGAAATACACTGGATGGTGTCATGAAGACAATCTCTCACTCTGGTATTGGTATCCGGAAAAAACAAGCCGAGCCATTTGTGCTAAATGATGAAGAAAAGCTATGGGCACACGTGTTTGGTACAAATACCGCATTAGGCATGAGTTATGCAACCTACTTTTACATGTGTAAAATATTTGGACTGCGTGCCGCTGATGAACATTCAACACTAACGGTGGACCAACTCACCATGCACAGCGACGATATGGGGGAGTACATGGTATTCCAGGGAAAACCGCGGAAAACTGACCAGGGAGGATTCTATCGCAAACCAGGGCAAAAATTTAAGAGTATTAAACACTACGCGCAACCAGAAAACTCGCGCTGTGTTGTAAACTTGTTTCGGACATATCTGTCATATATTCCAAACAGCGGGCCATTCTATGGAAGACCACTGAA